CTCTTGAGCTAGGACTCGACTGAGGTGGGGGTTTGCTTAGGAGGGTCTCGATTTGTAGACTCTTCCCTTGGGGAAATTTCCCAAGAATCATGTCGACTCTTTTCTTGGGAGCCGGCGGTGGCGAATCTGTTTCCTTTTCAGGAGATCTTTCGCGTTTTGGGGAGGTGTCTCTGGGACCTCTTTTCTGGTAAGGAGGTGGTTTCTTCAGCTCCACGTCCTTTAGTTCACCAGCTACGAATTTAGCTGCCAACTGTCGTTGGAGGTCCCAGCACTCTTCGGTTAAGTGCCCTTTTCGATCGTGATAAGAGCAGTGTTTGTTCTCATCGTAGCCTTTTGTCCAGGGAGTTTTGTTTGTCGCAGGAACAGGTTTTTCCTGTTGGACTTCGTCGACAACATACGAGTGTTCTCCCTGGGTTTGATGGTTTCGGGAGCTGCCTTTCCTAGAGGGTCCTTTCGTTTCCGAGGTCTCGAATTTCGGGTGATTCTGGGATTTCTTATGGATTTTATCCAATGCAGCTGTTTCTTCCTCCAAGGTAATGTATCTCGATGCTTTGTGAAGAGCGTCGTCGATAGTTGGAGGAGGGTTAAGCGTTAGCTCGGACCAGAACTCTGATTTATACCAGAGACCTCTTCTAAGGGCTTCGATGGCCACTTGATCGTTGGGGTTCGAGAGCTTAGTCTTAACTGCTCTGAACTTCTCAATGTAGATTCGTAGCGAATCCCCCATTCCTTTCCTGATCTTCCAAAGGTCGGCCTCAGAGGCTTTCTTAAGGATATGGGTCGAGTATTGTTTCATGAAGGCGTTAGTGAGCTGATCGAAGTTATCGATTGAGTTCGGCTCGAGGCTCGAAAACCATTCGAGAGCTGTTCCGACCAGGTTCTCAGCGAAGGTCCTGCAGTAACCTGCTTCGCATTCTTCTCGTGTGAAATGAGCTTTCACTATAGCTAAGCGGAAGGCTCTCAAATGAGCCTTGGGGTCTGAGGTCCCGTCATATTCGGGAATCCTAATTTTTCGGGTATCTCTTATGTAAGAGCTAGCGATTTTGTCTGTGAATGGGGTTCCACGGGTTTCCTCAATCAAACTCTCGATTTCGGGAGCTGAGCTTGTTGCTTTATGCACTTGAGCGTTCAGCTTCTGGAGGGCTGCGTGAGTTTGCTCCATGTATCGGCGAATAGCCTCAGGTCCTTCTAGAGGAAGGACAGTTGGGTCTTCGCGGGGAATCTGATGAGAAGATTCTTGGTGGAGTCGAGTGTTGCCGTTGTCCCAAGCGTTAGGTGGACNTCAGCTTCTGGAGGGCTGCGTGAGTTTGCTCCATGTATCGGCGAATAGCCTCAGGTCCTTCTAGAGGAAGGACAGTTGGGTCTTCGCGGGGAATCTGATGAGAAGATTCTTGGTGGAGTCGAGTGTTGCCGTTGTCCCAAGCGTTAGGTGGACTAAATCGCTCGTTAGCTCTAGAGCCACTTTGAGGGACGTAACCCAGTGGGTGAGCTGTGGGATCAGCTTCCGTCCTCGGGTTGTCTCGGTTAGGGGTCGCGCTTCCATTTTGGTAAGCTGAAGTCAGTGCCCTGCCTCTAGGAGGGGGAGACATCCCTTCTCCGGACCTAAAGATAGGTGGCGGAGGTGGCAATCGGGTGCTGTGTTCGTGAACCCTATTGGGTGCTGAGCTAGTCGTCGCTATGTTACTTCCCATAGCACTAGTTACGGGTGGACTAAATACTGGGGTTGCTCCGGTATGAGGTGTCCGGAGAACAGGCTCTTGCCCATTATGAGCAATGCTGTTGGGGGAAAAGTTCAGGCGTCCGCGAGGGAACGTGGGTTCGGTGAGTCGATCCCGAAAGGCGATTCCTGAGCCTTGGCGTTGCGATGGCTGAGTCGTCTCAGTTAGAGATCTAGTTACCTCTTCGAACCGTTTCTGCCGGGCAGTTAGCTGTTGCAGGGTACGCTCGTTATCCTGAGCTCTTTCTACCAACTGCACCATCATTCGGCGCATTTCGGATAGCTGAGCTTCCGAATGATGCGGAGTGTGTCGGCGTTGAGGGTTTTGAGGAAGAGTAGTTCCGGTGTTGTTTCCACCGGAAGACCTTGGGTTAGCTATCCCAGTTCGGTTCGGTTGAGCGTCAGCCGGAGACTGTTGCTCGGATCGAGGGTCAGCGAGTTGAGGTTCCGGATCCTGAGGGTCCGGATCTCTTCTGTTCGGTGATCCGTCGATCTGGATCACGGGATCCGGGATGGATGGATTCGTTGCCTGGTTGGATGGATCCATTCCCAAGTTACGGAGTGAAGGATTCAATTATCTCGTCCCCACAGACGGCGCCAAAATGTGAGGGGTAAAACTCACTTCCTAGTTTAGGTTATGTATAGATTGGGAAAAGATAATCGTGGGCTGAATCTTGTTGGAACTTGTATGAATGAATACGTTGTTTATATTGATTTTTGGTAATAAAAGAGTTTACAAGGATAATCGTCACGATCTAAATAGAAAGAACAATGATTGATAGAGAATCATTAAGAACAAAATGTATTAGAGTCTTTTTCTCTTGAATGAATCGAATCCCTCCTCTCTGATCTCTTCTCTTCTTTATATAGCACTAGGTCATGTCCAACTTCTCCCGGCGAAGCCTCCAAGATTATCTCCGTGAGTTGCGGGATTCGCAACAGCTTCCTCTTGACTAAGTCTTGTACGTTCTCCCGGAGCTGTTTCTCTTTAGCTGTTTTGTAAACGAGGTCCCGAGTCTTTTGTTCGTGACCTGTTTTTATCGATAGGTAACGATTTCATTTGATTCTTGTTTGAGGGAAGGCTTTCTAATGGGCTCGTAATGCCTCGTAAATGGTTTCGACTATTCAGCCCATTAATTCAGCTAACGGGCTAAATTCGAGCCCAACAGTGGGTCATCCATATTTGTATCCAACCTCTGTAGTTGAGCCTGTTGCTCTGCTGGTTTTCTCTGTCTTGCTATCTCTCTTTCAAACGCCCTTTTATATGGAACTCTTGGAACAAGGTTTGTGGTGCCTTTGCTCCTCAAGTTCATACACCTGAAAGCCAAATAGAAATGAAGATAAAGAATCAGTAAAAAAATAAAAGAAAAATGACTTAGTATCAAGCAAGTGACTATATCTCAATGTTTAAATCTACTCAGAATTTGGCAACGGCACCAATTTGAAGTTATGAGTTTTCAAGGCTCCTAAGACAAATGTTGTAGAATAAATGATTGTCAAACCAATTCTAAGGGATTTTAAAGCACTGAGAATGCAAGTACTCACTTAATCTAAGTGCAATCAAATAAATGATGGTTTTAAACTATAACTAAGAATAAGAAAAGCGATAATTAAAATAACTTCCTTTGACTAAGAGAAATGAGAACTCATGGAAGTAGGGATTAGACCTTGGGTGATCAAAATTTGAACTAAGAATGGCAAATGATCAATTAAACTATCGACCTTAAGCCTAGACACATCTCTAAGCAGGCTCTATGTCTAGATGAATTCTCATTTACTAACATAACTTAAACATCAAATCTCTTTGGTTGAATGTTATAAAAGTAATCTTCAAGAACAAGTCCATTAGCCATCTTAACACCTTTAACAACAAATGTCTTTGGTAAAGTATGTTAAAAGCTTAACAGAGTTTGTTCAGGCATTTCATCGAACACCTTGTGAGGTGGGAAATGCCTAAAGCTCAACCTTTGAGAGGCCAAATCAAAATATGCATTAAGAATACTCTACTAGCAAGGAATAAGAGAAATCTACACTAAACATCCTAGTTTTAGCCTAATCACCCTTAATCTCCCTATCCAATGAATTCAAAGGTGGATTATTCACTAATCTTCATGCTTCCTCTCAAACCCATATTGGATTCAAGCGTAATCATGTAAAGATGAGTGGATAATGCAATGAAACAAAACAAGATCACAAGAACAATGAAGAATGATTCATAGAAATCAACTTTTCCAAGAGGTTTTTGTGTTTTTTCTCCTCCAAATCAAGAATTCTCTGCCTGGTAGGCTACAAAAAGTACTTAAAGTTAGGTTTAGGAAGTGTAAAAATATGAACCAAATGACCAAAAGGTCACTAGAAAATAAAAGGTTTCGACAAAGCAAATGACGCGGAGTGACCTCGCCACATCGCTCTGGGAGGTCGCTCCGGCTGGGAGCGACCTATTGACGTCGCTCCGAGAGGTCGCTCCGGCTGGGAGCGACCTACGGACGTCGCTCCGAGACATCGCTCCAGGGGTTGTTTCGTCTTCCGGATTTGATAAAAAGGCGAGTGAACTAGGTGCCTCGCTCCGGGAGGTCGCTCTAGCTAGGAGCGACCTATGGACGTCACTCCAGAACCTCCTCCTGCAACCGAGTGTCAAAAGGCCGAGCGACCATAACGTCTCGCTCTAGGGGTCGCTCTGGCTTGGGAGCGACGTCACGGGTCGCTCTGGAACGTCGCTCCCGTCCTACTCGTCTAATGATCACTCTAAACTCCTCTTTTGGACCTCAAATGCATCCAATTACCTCCAAAAAATACAAGGATACTCCAATACCTAATAAGAACTCATGTATGCAAATTTAAACCTAGAAATTACTAAATCCTAGTCTATATGATCAAAATGCATGTGGATGAATGGATAAAACAATGGAAATATGCAAGACATCATCCCTAACAGAGTATGAATTGATAAAGTAATGAAAAAAGAAAGGTTTAAGAGTGTTTAACATAAGAGTGCTTAACATAACATAAGTTTGAGCATAACATAAGATAAGATTCAAGAGTAGCTTGAATCATAACATAAGTTTGAAGACATAAACTTATACAAGTCTTAACAAACAAAGACTTGTATTAACCGAAATATAAAAATGTACAAATTTTTAAGCATATATATATTCAGAACTTGTGAATAGAGAATCTCTTGACTCATGTACTGGAGGTCGAGGTATTAAGCGTCTCTTAATCTTAGCAATCTCTTCAGCCATATCATCCACCTCCCTCCTTAGGCGCTCCACTTCTTCTTGAACACCGAAAGCCCATGACTGACGAAAGTGCATCCCATCGTCTTGCACAGTTTCACCCAGAGTATAATCCAGTTCTAACTAAGTATTAAGGAGTTTCAAACAGTATATCTCAATTTGATTTAGTTTTACAACGAAAACAAATATAAGTAATAATTACCTCATAATTATTGCAGGTGAAGTACCTATTCCCGGGCAAGGTATCAAAATCTGATTTGTAGTTCGGAATTGGAGAAACAGTCATCTTTATTTCACAACCACATGGGCAACAGATTGGGCATCGGCTATGAGTCATGTTCAGCAAAGGGGAACGAGTAAAGAGAGAGTGTATAAATGAAATGGATATCGACGAGGAGAGAGAAGATAAAAAGAGAATGAATAAAGAAAGAGTGTATAAATGAAATGGATATCGACGAGAAGAGAAAAGATAAAGTAGAGAGAGAGTGCTTGGGAAGTGGGAAAAGTGATTGGGAAAAGCCGGGACGGGACGAGACTCCCAGAGAAAAGAGCAGAGGGAATCTACTTTTTGACCCAAATAATTGAAACTTTTTGGGTATTTTCGTTACGAAGGTACTTTTTATTCTCCCTCCGAAATATTTGCGCATAGTTATACTAAAGTTTCTGGTTTTACCAACTTTCTTCATAGTTCTACTTTTCGTGAATTCAACTTTAGTTTTACGTCTAATTTTAATTTGTGAAGAAAGTTTTACTTGTCATCCATGTAATTATAAATGACTAGTGCAATAGTATCTTTCAAATCATGAAAACTATATAATACTTCTCTATAAGCTTATCTTATTAACAAAGTCCTCTTGGAAAGACTATGACAAAATGTGAAAAGATGAGTATTTTTACTCTGAGTTTTGTAAATATTATTTATTTTCACTAATCTATTTTCAGAAGCAGTGTCTGTCACATCTTTTTACGTGAATATGTTTCTGTATTTAGACTTCTGTTGTTCGTATAAGAGGCAAATTATGCCTATCATGTGATGTTCGGATTAAGCCAATTTCTATCATAGTAAACCTTGTTATACTAGTTTCCCGTCATTTTCAAATATATCTCTAAAACAGTCGAAGAAATCGAGATCAAACACACTTAAATATTATTTCTTAAACCCACTTAAACAGAGGTTCCAGAACACTTAAACAGAGATTCCAAAACAGTTAAACAAGATAATACATAGTAAAATCGCTTAAACATAGAATTCTTCAAACTTTCTAACAATTTCCTTCATTTTGTATCTTCTCCAAATTACTTCTCAGTTCTGCAATCATTTTGTTTAACTGCTCAATCACTCTACTCTTCTCTCGGATCTCATTCTGGGCTTCAATCAAAGCTCTTTTTTTGCCATAATGTACCATGCTCTTCATCAAACCATGCGAAGAACTTGCATCCATTTTTCTCCTGCCATAATTTCAACTGTAAAGCTATTTTTCACATCAGAATCGCTAGTTTATAATCAACTGGGATACCTTAAAACGCGGACAACCATAAAATCGTCGCCCTGGGTTCTTGTCTGTCCAAGCTTGTCTTATGGCTGCCTCTAAGCGACAGAAACACAATATTCGACCAGAATTTTGCCTTCTCCTTAATGATCCCAGACCATCTCCTTGCATCTTCACTATTTTCTCATGAGAAGGAGAAGAGTCGAGAGAAAACAGAGAGAATGAGAAGAGAGAGTGAAAAAGATGCTGTATTTATTTCATTTATTAGAGTTATCAAGGAGAAAATTCGGGTCTATCCCATAAAAGATATAGTTAGTTTTACCAATGTTTTCAAAATAACCAAAAGAAACATACCAAAAGCAACATCCTAAAAGCAACATACCAAAAGCAAACAACAACAATAAATACAAACAAAATATCTAGTTTGATTCACTGGGATTACTACTACGCATTCCAAACAACAGCCAACTGAAACCAAAATTTTGCCTTGGTCACCTGTTTTGTGTCCTTTTACGTCGCTCCCCAACAGATGGACTCCTCTTATTCTTTTTTCTTCCCTTCCTCTTGAGGCGATCCGGAGGTATGATCTGAAGCTCTTTGATGTGATCTGATACATTCCGTTCAGACCTGTCCGGCACATAATAAATGGTCTTGTAATAAGCCAATGCCCAAAGTTCTGTCCAGTAATATTTCGAGCAGAATTCATGATACTCTATCCTCACATCACGTCGACGACCAGGAGCAGCATCAACCTCAAGGAAATATAAGTAAGCAGCAAATCCGTGCAGACAAGGATACTTTTCATAATCATATACCTTGCATGTAAAACTCTTTGCTATCAAGTTTACAACATAAGTCTTCCTATATCAGTGTCGGTTACCTCGTACTCAAACACATGACTATTTAGCTCACGCACTGGTGTTTTCTCAGCTATGGCTCCTAGGTTATGGATGTGAATATCGACAAGAGGAACCAGTTTCGTATCAATCAACCCAGACACATAGTCCTTTCGATGTTCATTAAACCAGTCAGAATTTTTTTTGATGATTGTATCCAACAATGGTATTAAAGCATACCTCCTGACGTCAAACACACTGTTCATTAACTCTACACTGTTGCTAGTGTCCAAGTTGTATCTCACACCTGGGAAACAAACCCGAGCCCATGTGCTTTTCTCAGTATGCTCCTCCAAATACTTGTACGCTGGAGGATATCTCACCTTAAAAGATGCATAAGCAGACTCGAACTCAGCCACGGTTTAGCACCTACCCAACTCCATAAATCTCCATCCGACTACGGCTTTGGTTTTGTTGCATGCATGCCCTCTCACATTCTGAGACAAATGCCATATACAATGGCCATGGTTAGATTGTGGATACACATTAGCTACAGCCGCGATGAGGCTCTGGTTTCTATCGCTCATAAAAACTAATTCAAAAGAGTCTGGTATAGTAGTTTTGAGCATCTCGAAAAACCATGTCCAACTAGCATTATTCTCACCATTGAGTACACCAATCGCAAGCGGATAATAGTGAAGATTAGGATCTTGAGCTTTAGCAAATACTAGTACCCCACCAAATCCATTCTTCAAAAATGTGGCATCCACAACTATCACCTTCCGCATGGCTGCAAAACCTTCAATACAAGCTCCCAGAGCTATGAAGAGGTACTTGAACTTATTTGCCTCATCCAACTTCACCCATGTTTTTGTTCCTGGATTGACCTGCTCTAACATGTACAAGTAGCTATATAGCATCTTGTATCTCTCTTTCGAACCACCATGCAACTCAGAAATATCTAGATTTTTTCCTCTCAAGGCTGTGGAGTAGGATATTTTTATACCAAGTTTTAACTTTATAAGTTTCATGATATCTTTTGGAATAGGAGTACTCAATTTTCCAGGATATTGCTCATTCAGAAAAGTTGCAACTAATTATGCTGAGCCTTTCCTCTTAATGTTGCTGCTTTTAATTTGATTAGACCGAGAGCATGTATGCACACCCGTGTACCTCCTAACAGAAAAAAATTCAGTCTCTGGAATCCTTGCAGCTCGTAAACCCCACTTACAGCTTGCTTCACAACATTTTAACACCAATCATCTCCGGTCCGACTTGTTGATAACATAACGAAAGCATTCACCAAATGCTGCTCTATCCACCACCTCTTGAATTGCTTTCTTACATGAAAACTCCTGATACTTAATCAGACTCAAACCGTCTTTCCAATCCTCTATAGCCTGACTAGATTTTTTTTTAGGTGGCTGCTCAAAATACTTATCTGCACCCATATATGTCTCAGCTGCAGTGTTCGTCCCAGCTGCGGTGTCCGTCTCAGCTGTGGTGTCCGTTTCAGCTGCGGTGTCTGTCTCCGCTGTAGTGTATGTCCCAGCTGCGGTGTCTCTCCCACCTATGGTGTCTGTATCCATAAAATAATTCTCTGCATCTACCAGCTCCTTCTGTTGATGTGCCTTGTATGTCATCGCTGAAAGTGCTTCTGATTGCCTGCAACTCACAAATGATGTCTTCACAAATGTGAATTGGATCCCATTTAATATAATGGAGGCGTTGAGGCAAATGTTTAGATGCCAAAAATGAGAAAAAAACCTGGTAGGTGTATGTGGTTGTTGGGGTCTGATATCACTCAAATATTAAACCTAAGGAGTGAATTACTCTCTCAAATAAGAGTTTCAGTTGTAGTACTTGATGTCACTCAAATGTTTAACCTAAGGAGTGATTTACTCTCTCAAATAAGAGGTTTATCGTAGTACTTAGGGATCGAATCCACAAGGAACTAGAGTCACAAAAGATATAATCCTAAGTGATTAAGCTAGGTTGAAAAAGGTTTAAACAGTAAATAAAATAAGTAGCAATGGTAAGTTGCTAAGGAAAATAGGTTTTGGTTTGAAAACAATGAAGAGAAATATTTAGATTCAAGGTTACTATTCAGAAAATCAGGATTATAAATCTATGGATGTCTTAACGAATTGGTTGCAAATATATGAGAACTTCAACCTTTAGACAAATCTATAGCTGTCGCTATCAGACTCGTCTATTGATCTGATTTCCGACTGCATCGATCGATGTTGCTATCGCAGTGTCGATCGATATAAGCTGTCGTCGATCGATGACTCTAGAGGAGTATCGATCGATGTAAAGTATCATATCGGATTGAACTGTGTTCACCCGAGAATTTCTATCAGACCGGCTGTCGCATCGTGCCTTGATAGAGTCTGGGTTTAGCCAAATGATTTCAGGAAGATGACTATTAGATTAGTCACTCCATAATCAATACTCTAGGTAGCAAGTCTAGAGTAAGCATTAGGGTTCATTTGAATAATGAATATAACAACTCAACAATCCATAGTTGGAGCTAATCCTTCATAACTATTTGAACCCCAAATCTAACATATGAATCTACTCAGACATAGCCAAGAGATTCATAGCAAAAGAATAAGAAGAAAAGAAAATGCTTTTATTGCTAAGTATAGAATAGAATACAAAACTCAAATCTTTTGTGTCTTTCTAGGGCTCATTGGCATAACTATAAATAGGGAATACAATTAGATTAAAAACTCGTCAGGGGAAGTCTTGTAATTTGGTGAGAACTTGGGCTTCAAGTCGGCCAAGTAAATCTTGCTCATCACACTCTGTATCGATCGATGATACATTGCGTACATCGATCGATGGAGTATCTCGACTTAAACTTCTACGGAATCGTCATCGATCGATTACACAAGGTGTGCATCGATCGATATGTGTCTCTTAATGTCGGATCTTCACATGCAACTTGTAAAACTCTCCTTTAAGCTCCATAAGGCACCTAAATCATCACTGTGGGAGTCGATTTCACCCTACTGTCAAATAAATCGTAAATAAGGAAACTTCGGGAAAACCCTAAGTTTCCAGAGGAACCGGTTATCTGCGAGAACCGCACAACGAAAATAAGATGACTAAAACACTTAGAATAAAAACGAAAATAAGAGAAGTTTGAAAGCAAGAAGGTTCTTATTCCGAATCTGCGTTGAACTGGTTACAAGAAGAGTAGCCGTAAACGTAAGAACTTAGAAAACCCTAATTGAGACGCAGCTCAATAACAGAAAAACGGAAATATTCCTAAATGCTAATTTTGGTGGTGAGAGCTCTGAATTTTCGTGTGTATGCTTCTGCCCTAGACCTCCTCTTTATATACTCCTCATCTTGGCTATCCGATCTTTCCATTTCGCCCAGATTTGACTTAAATCGGGAACTTTCCATTCTTCTCGATCCTTCCTTTTCTTCTGCGGAAATCTTCTATTTCTCTTCAAATCT